ACAGAGGCAACTAAACTCGCAACCTGGAAATTGATAGATAGATCTTTGGACAGCGTTGCCACATATCTGTCTCAACCGAGACTTTTTGAGTGATGTGTTATATAGCACATCTAGAATAAATATTGTAATTATTTTTCTTGCTTCTTTTATTATTTTTCATTGGTGTACTGGTTTTGACATTTCTGTAGTTGTTATTAGTGCTTCTATTGTTTTTTCTATAGTTGATGTTTCTTCTATTATTGACGATGACAAAGTTGTTTGTCCTCATTGTTGCTATGTTTTTTCTTATTTTTGATGTTGTTATTATGGGTGCAGATGTGATCGATACAATCGTGGCTGCTTCTTCTGTTTTCGTTTTTATTCTTGTCGTCGAAATAGCTGAATGTAAAACTGGTTTAAGTTTGAGCATTATCCAAATGAATGACATCATCCTTATCGAGTTTCTTGATATGGACAATTGCATGCTTAGCAAATGCCGTTTTCATTTTATTTAGTTTGCGCAATTTTAAGACTTTGTGAAAAATAGCGTAATTATGGCTTCTATTTATATAAAACTTGGGATCTCTGCCCCCGAATACAATGTGCTTTAATCGTAGTTGTCGAGGCGCCAAAACTAAACGTTCCATCTACCTAGTATAGCTGCAAGTACTCTAGAAAGCATTTTGATTTTGCGCAAGCGAATGAAGAAAAGGCGTAGCAGCAATGTTTGAACACCGATCAGAAGATATATTTATAAATTAATTTTTACACAAACATTTAAGGACAAAACTCCCTCGTCGAATTTCAAAGGAATTGAAACCACATAAGATCAATCATCTAGGATAGATATTTATGTATTTTGTGATAATTCAGCTGAAAACCTTCGTTTCAGAGCGATCTAATGACGAGTAAGCTCCTTAGATATTAACATAACTCTTACAGATTCCGTGTTTAGCCATGTTTAAAATGTTCCTCTCCCTTTAGTTTTGGTTTTTTTGTAGAATACAATCTTTAGAAGACTATTCGTTATTTTGTTGTATATGTGATGCTATTGCGTTTAGCTGTTGTTTTTGTGGCATGAAACCCAATCAAGCATATAATATGCTGTGACACTCTTCAAAGAATGTCAGTATTGTTTAATATGAATGACAGTTTTTTTTGTTTCTTGGTTGGTTGCCTAACAATTTCATGCCTTAAAGAGACGCATAGTTAAGCGAGTGTATGTACGCATGAAATAAAATTATCCCCATCTTAATTTTATTGTCATTTGGCTATTGTCGACAATTTTAATAAGAAAGTCAGTTGTTTGACCATTTGGGCAGGTTTTGTTCCTAAAATCACGAAAGTGCCGAAGATAAATCTAGACTTGATAGGTCTTCATGTTTTTAATTTTTTTGCTTGCCAGTTGTTAAGCCTAAAAATTAGCGTCTGAATATTGATATATATATAAAAATATGTATTATCAGCGTAAGACGCTGAGCCAATTTAGTCACAGTCGCCAGTATAACTTTTGTCTGTGCTTCACTTATTACGTTGTAAGAGTTAAGATAAATAACTAAAAGCTGATAAGTATATTTTTGGAGTAGGTCAGCAAGCAAGTTTAACTATGTGTGACCTTTATCTTTGGTATTTGTTAGAATTCTTCAAAAACTAAGAATGACAATAATTTCGATCAACCTGTCGACAAAGCAATAATTAACGAAAGTCTTTGCGATTTATAGTTTTTCCCTGATGTGATTATTCAGGACTGACACCAAGCCAAACATAACTATTTTATTTGTTATTTTTCATAATCGCGATGTTAGGTGTATCTATGAATCGGAACCCCTCCCCTCTCGCAAACGTTTTCGTTTTATGTCGACTAAAATATTTCCACACAGCACACACGAGTACGCATATTGACACAGCATAAGTTGCACTCATGCAGAAATATCAAAATCAATTTTTTCCCGGCTGACTAACAACTAAATTGATGTTGTATTAATTTCTAGAAAAAAACAAAACTGACTGAGCCTTCTTAGAAAAAAACCTTAAGGAAACAATATTGAAGTAAAAAATGTTCAGAACATAATACGAAGAAAATCGATAAAAATAGAATTAAATTCCAAAGGCATTTTCTCAATAATGAATGAAAGAAAGTCTTGATATCAAATATATACGCATTTTTAAACGTAGAGTAAGATTGATTTTGTGTTCTTTTCTCCTGAGTTACAAAATTTTAGAAGCTTACGGTGAACTGTACTGTATATATATATAGATATATAGATAGATTGATATGATATGAATAATCCACATTTATATAAAGGCACATACAAAAAAAAGCCCTTTTGTTACAATAGGTAGACAAACATACTTGCTCTGGTCATACAATGCGCTTATATCGAACATAAAAGATCAAAATAGAGTTAGCCTAACCGAATGATTTGCAACACGCAAATGGCCACACAACCACATGAAGTCTAATGCATTAACAACATACATTTTGATAATAGAACAAGATCCTGGCAACACAGTATTGGTTTATTTCAACTAAAAATAAATTATACTATAATAACTTTTAAACGTGCCGGTTTCGCAAGAGTCTTAGTTCGTTTGGCTGTTCAAATCCTTGTTTAAAGGGGGTAATTCACGACCTTTTTAAATAAAGACAGTTAATGATAACGTATAAGGGCTTTCAAAGAAAACATCTTTCAAACTATCTGATGGATTCGCTATTGGACATCAAATATTATTCGTGGCAGATGTATGAATCATTTTGGCGAACTGCCAAAAATGATTCTATTCATAAAACTACCGAGAGTTACGGCCGTATTCTGAGCAACATAACAGAGTCTTCACGAGGCACTTTTTCTTTGTGATTGTCGTTGCTTACCAATCTTACTTTGTAACGAAATTGATAGTTAAGACTTTTTTTTTAGTATTAATATGGAATACCAAATTTGATACGAGGTTACAAACACTATGATAAAAAATATGGTTTACGCCTAAATATACAGCACAATTTTTGTGCGTATTTCTCAAAACACATTTGCATTGTCAGGTTTAAGTTGGTTATAGACCATCGAAATGAAATATCCCATTTTGTTAAATGTTTTACATTTATGATCCCGTTAGAAATAGTTCACAGGTGCTGGTTGACAATATTGGCAATAGGCCTGATTAACCCTTAACCACATCTTGAAGAGTAAATAACTGTAAATAATATTTTGTAGTAAACAGTAATTTAAAATTTGGTGGAATATTTCTTATGCCAATGTCGGAGATCGGTGGAAAAATTATCTCAAGCAGCTAACTGATGTGTTTATAAACGACTAAGTGCTTCGTAATATTTATGCATTAGCTAGAATCGAACCGAACAAAGATGAACATAACTTTTTTATGATTTGTTTCTTCCCTTTTTCTTTTTTTCTTTATATGAATTGTTTGACTTCTCCATACTGAATTTGATATCTAACTGATATTGAACCACTCAATCTCTCTTGAAACTGAAAAGAAAACTGTTTAGTGGGTTAAATTTTTTATTTTTGCGATACTTAAATCGCAGCCCAATAATTATTAATTTAGTTATATATTACATTTGTATTACTCTATGAAAGTTCACGAAATCCAAGTTTTACTGCGTCCTGCGGAATAAGTCATAAGTTTATTTAACACTTTCGTTAAGTTTAAAGATCAAGAAGAAGAAGAAGACGTTAAGACATCAAGAAGAACATAAAGACATTAATATATGGATACTTCCGGTTTGTGGTTAATTGTCACTACTTAATTGGAACAGGAAAGATGACAAAAATCTGGTTGTTTCATGCAACGGAACAGGTTCAGGTTTTTATCTTAGACAGGCTTAGTATTGAATTTTGGACAAAAGGTAGCATAATAGATGTTTTTAAATAAAGCCACTAACTCTGCCGAAAATGTAGTGAAGGGTAAGAAAATTTTTGTTCTTATCCTCAACTTATCGCTGATTACAGCGAAATGGCACTTTAATGCAGATATAATAATAATAATAATAATAATAGGCGTCAGTGTTTGGTCTTAGTTGCTTCCGGATACATCTTCAAAGATTTGTGTAAGGACACTCCGTCTTTGCGGTTCGCACAGAAAATGTGGTGTCTAAAATTCGAGAGCCGCAGATTGAAATTTACGGTTGGCAATAATGCGGTTGCCAAAATTTGTTTACATAAAATTGCTTTCAACAGCGCCACCAAGTTTTTTACGGGAGCATGTATGAAGTGAAAAAGGTTGCTTAGAGTGTTGACTGGCTGACTAAAAAGGTGGAGTTCAAACGAATTAATATTCTATGGGGAACCAAGCAGAGGTAGTCTTGAGAAAGAGGACGAAGCAGTTATGGACAGGGGAACGCGCGCTTATGAAAAACCAAATACACACACATTTACCTCTTTCTCCGCTTTTCTCTTGCTAAAATATACAGTGAAGAGTAGTAGGAAGGAACTAACTAATGTCCCAGGAGAAGCGCACGATTTGTAATTAGCTTAACAGCAAGCAGTTTAGTAGAAGGCACAATGAATGGCGAATCGTGTATTCTTTAGCTACAAATAGTACTTTTGGAAAATTTTTACCTTCAGTAAAGCAAAACAAGCACAAAGACACACATCTTTGACGCACACATCTTACAAACATACATATCACACACTCACACCTCACATACTCCCGTACGTTCGCAGTTCTAATTAAAACATATAGGAAAATCCAATAGTTTTATCGCGTGAGTAAACGCGTTTGTATTCAAGTTGGTGTTCAGTAAACGATTAAGTTTTAAATAGTATTATACTTCAGCAATTGTGCCCTTGGTAATTCCGTGGGTCAGTATTGCTGAAGAGCGTGCTCGAATTTGATTTAGGACACACCTTTCTAGCTCCGGATGATGCTTCTGGCTAAGGCCAACGTATACTTACAAACATTCGACATCCATTTAATTAGTCAGTTAAAAAACAAACATTTGTGACGTAGATTTGTGCAAAAATATGAAAAGTTAATATTATTACATTATTGTTTATTTTCAGGTCATAGCGGTGTCAATCAGTTGGGTGGTGTTTTTGTAGGAGGCCGACCGCTTCCGGACTCGACACGACAGAAAATTGTTGAACTGGCCCATTCCGGAGCAAGGCCTTGCGATATATCACGTATTCTTCAAGTGTCAAATGGTTGCGTGAGCAAAATTTTGGGCAGGTAAAATGAAACAATTCAGAATTTTGAAAGGGCTGTTTTCTTTTGGATTGATGACCCGTCTACTTTAGAGTATCGTCCGCAAATTATTCAGTCGTTCCGAAACAATAGAAAAGTCGTCTAAATATTCTGACCATTGAAGAACAGAAAAAAGTAAAACCTATAGCATTATTTAGACTGTTAACATAGCATGTTATTCAATAATAACTCTACCTATTATAGCCTTCTTATTACATTAGCGAGTCTAGAAAACATTACTCAGCGGCGATATAATCCTACAGAGATAGCAGTTCTACTGCAGTTACATTAACTACTATATATACAAAAACCGAATCGAAGCATAATATCGTAGCAATACATACAATTTTTGAGCAAAATAAGAATTTTATTTTCGAGAGCCTCCTTGAATTGGGAGAAATTAGTTTTTAGATTATCATTCACTAACTGAGCGAAAAATTCTGCCTTTTTGCAATTTGTTTGAGTAGTTTTGTGTAAAAGACGGTTCTCCACATACTCTTTTTTTGTGCAATATATACTTTGCTAGGTTTTATTTTTGTGGCGGGAAGTGTATTGAGAACAGAAATGATTGAATACCTCATGAAAACACGTATATACGCGTACTAAGAAATGCTTTTAGTACATGAAATGCTTTTAGTACATGAAATGCTTTTAATTAATTGCGTTTGTAGATGTCTTTCAAATGTTAAGTGTATTCACCTTTAGGTCAAAAAGATGGTTCTGTGGCTTTCTATTTACAAACAAATATATTTCTGAATTTCTGATATTTCAGATATTATGAAACGGGGAGCATACGGCCTCGCGCTATAGGTGGTTCTAAACCTCGTGTAGCCACCGCTGAGGTAGTTAGTAAAATTTCTCAATATAAACGTGAATGTCCAAGTATTTTTGCATGGGAAATTCGCGATAAACTTCTGCAAGATGGGATTTGCACCAACGATAACATACCGAGTGTAAGTATATTAAGCAAAAATAAAATTTTTTTTCTTATCCTTCTTTTCCCTTTGGTATTGAGTAAAAGAAAAATTTGTATCTATGTAAGTGAAGCTACTTTTTAGCTAAAATCAACTTATTTTTTTATGTCTACTGGTTGTTGGAGGTAATAATTGGACGTCTATCTACAAGCCTTTAATACGTAAAAATGTTGACTTTATAAATCTTAGATTGTTTGAACACAAACCGGATGAAACAATTATACTTCCATTGCATATACGCTCACCCAATGTTCGCGAGATACTACGTTACTTTTGTGTCCATCGCAGGTAACCGTCATTCATGGAAAACATGAAAGCATGAGAAAATACAAGAATGAACTAAAAAATTAAAACTTACGTTTGTGCTACGCTCTCTATTGCCAATGAACACCCCAGTGTAGAAAGGCTTATACGCCTTCATAAGTTTGATCGCGTTGTTGAATAAAACGGGGAAGAAACAAAATGTAAGAAATGTCCACATTTTCTGTGAATCCTGTGAAAAGGTTTCTGTTACGGGTTGTTAGCAACTCGTTGCTCGCGAAGTATACTCAGTTGTTTGGCAGCCGTGATTGAATGTTGAATACAACAGAAGGGTGCATACATTAAGAATATATAGTATATTTGTTTGTCCTAGATCTTTAATTTTTTGCGCTCATTTTCTACTGTACTTCATCATGTTTTTACTTACAATGCAGCCATTGAGTAAACTGAGAACCAATACGACGCGACCATTTTATTATTTGCATATATTACGAACAAAGGCTGTTACGTCGCAAACCGCTGGTTAAGATTGATTTTTTTTTGACGTTTTGCTCAGTTTTGCTTTTTCTTGCATTTCCCTTTACTGATGACCGCCATAACTTATACCTTGCATTCAGAAAGTAGTTTATGAGAAAAAAATCCCTTAAAATGAAGCTGCAGTATACACAGCAATTGGTGTTTGATTGAATTCGGTGGAAATGTGGGTGAGGACGTGTTGTTGTTTAGTAGTGTTACATCCGGTTTTCGCCAAGGTCAGTTATAGCATAACATTCGGCGCACGTACAAGAATTGGTAAATTCTCAATCTTTGTAGTAAATGACAATTTTTCCGCTCCCTTTTTATGCAAGCTTGATTGGTTATTTCAACAGAAAGTAAAAAAAAATTATGTATTTTTAGTAAAATTACTCTAACTTTCAGATTTCTAACTCAAAATCACAACATGCATAGCATTTATAATATAATAGTATATCCTGCGAAAAGAAGGGCAATATTTGTAAAAACTCTCCACATCACCTTTTCAAAATGTAACTAGAGTATGTATACATACACTACTGTTATAAGTTCGGAACACTAAAAAGAATATGAAAAAAATCTGATAATGTCGAACGAACGCATGACAATACACTTGGTGGCTATTAAGAGTGGGAAGGCAAAAAGGATTGTTCTATTGACAGAAGTGAAACTAAAGTTTAATGAATTTATTCCACTTTCATACCCATCACTGTCAGACGGAGGTATGCTCACTTTTTCATCCAAAGGGAAACTTCAGAGACCCTATAAAGTATATAGATTCTTGATCAGAAATTCTGAGTTGATTAAGTCATGTTTGTCCGTCTGCTTGCCTGTGCGTCTGTGTTGTGCTTGTTATTGGTATTCTCTTGATCGCAAAAATGAAAATGGGCCAAATTGGTCAGAGCAGAAGACCGCAGTAAAGCATAAATTGAACGCAAGTCCGTTTTTCTTAACAAAAATATTTCTCAGATATTATAAAAGTTAGAAGGCTGCAATTTTCCAATCTAGAGTCTACTATTTACGTGCAAAAATGGAAAAAATCGGCCATGCCTACACAAAGTTAAAAGTGATTCAATTATCTTTGCTTCACTTCTTTGAGTTTTTATGTTTATTTATCGTAAGGAAAAAAAGGCAGAATGTTTAAAATTACATGGTACATTTCTCAAATGAAGATATATTACGTACTTTAAAGTGGGTTAATTGTAAACTGAATACCGTAGACACCGCGAATATCTTTTTCTCAATAATACCAGCGATATTAGTATCATATAAAAGAAGAAGAAGAAGCAGAGGGAGTAGAATGCAAAAAGTATAGTGGTGGGTATGTGAGTTTCGGCCCCCGCCGAATATAACTTCTATACTTTTTTTTTTTATTTTTTGGTTTCACATTGTCTTTCTTCTAGTTGCAGATATTTAACGCTGTTCATGCATAAGTCTCTGCCTTTTATTTTGCGAAAGCATGGTAGACGTGTCCGTGGTAAAAACAAGGTGCTACGAAAATTGAACAAGTTTACATTGCCTTCTTTGGTCTACTCATCCGATCGTGTTCGAAATATATGTGCAAATATACATAACACATACATCGTAAAAAAAAATTCACGTATTTACATTCTTAGGGAGAAGAGGACATTCTGACGACTGTAGCAACAAGCCAAACAGAAAAATTTAGCTAAAGCTGTTGTATTATCACTTGTACATCATAGACATAATTACGTTCAAGTTCAGCACAATTAATCTTTAAATTTGTTAATTCCTTAAAAATATTGGCTAATATTCTTTTACACTATATATGCGACCACTTGTTAATTGTATGTGCCACATAGGCCAGTTAGAGGCGTATTTATAAACGATACTTAATAAAAGTACTAAAAATTTATTGGTATATTTTAAAAACTGACGAAGATATTATTGGTTTCTATCGTTTCTTCTATGAGCAACAATTAATACTTTTGAAGTCACATTATTAAACAAAACATAAAAAAGGCCATTTAAAGTCATTGGCCTTAAAAAACAATGATTGATAAGCAACACAAGTTTGTTATTTTATTTATTATTATATTTTTATTATATTTAAAAGCCAAAGTTTTCCCTAACTTTGAATATCGATGTTATCGTTGTTGTAGAGTACCAATCGTTCAAATTATTTCTATCAATCAAGTGATATTTAAAGGCTTTATATGGTTTTGTTGTATAAATCTCCTGTGCTTGCTGGCATAATTGTACTCTTTACTATATATGCTGTTCATATAATTTTCGCGGTACAGAATGCAAGACTTTTAAATTAAAAGAAATAACTTTTTTTCTGATTTTATTTTAATTGTTTCGTATAACGTTCTAAAGACGTCTTTTAAAAGCTTTCTTAAAAGTTGCTTAACCAACTATGTAACAAGGCTGTGTTCCGTCTTTTAGTTTAAATTTAATCAAGGAAAGAAAAAATATTGTCGTATACATTTTTTTTTAATAACAGGTGAAGAGCACCAGAAAATGACAGATTGTCCACCCATGGTCTTCTGGATCGCAATGTTCTTGATATGTTGTTCCCTCGCAATTTGGTGACTTACATTGCGTCCTCCTCTATTTTAAAGCTTGTTATCTGAACATACAAAATATGTCAGTTAAACTATGAACCTACTTCGTTTCTGATTCTTCTATTTATGTAACATATTTGTTTTTCTATTAAACAGTTACATGCATACACATGTACGTCTGCTATCTCGACACTAACGAACATCTTATATTACTCTACTACTCATTGCACCGTGCAACTTACAATCAAACAAAATCACTAAATGTATAATATAATAACCATCTTGTGAAAATAAAATAAAATGAAATAAGAAAATAATTCAAAACCATGAAAAAATACTTTTCATAATAGTAATGAATAGTTACATAGGTCAAAATCTGTCGCGAAAGTATGCAGAATGAGTCACACAACTGTTAGAACAATAAAGCGAATAAAAGATCGTGTTCGTAAAAGTGTAGCTAGGCGAACTGCTGTAAGTGCTAAATTTTGTATATATTATCGATATGATTTAATAAAAGCGGTAGATGATATTTTACTAATTTTGGTGGATAGTGAAGTGGCGATGGTAATGTTACCGGTGCATACTTATTCGATAAAACGCAAAATTTTTAATATTTTTAGCTCTTCAAAAAAAAAAAAGTAAGAAATGTCCAGCGAAACTAAAAACGATTGTTGAGATAAACTCGTACATTCCTGACCAAATATTTAATGCCGGTCAAGTCGGTTCGTTCTGAATAAAATGTGCACATTTTTATGTTTAAGGGGTAACTTCAAAATGCTCGTTCCTTCGTCCGAATGTATTTAAAGCAATATTCTCTTCAACAATAAATTTTTTTGAAAAATTAATTTAAAAATTTTTTACTACTGTAAGAAATGGTACCGCTTGGAACGCTTTACGTTCTCATACACAACCAATACTTCACCTCCGTCAACGATTCCGCTAACAAACGCTTCTCTACGAAATCTGGTTAAGAGTGAATAGCAAAGTGATCACCGAATATTCCTATTCTTGTCTCAGGTAACTGAAGCGGTACTCACATGCCTTGCCTGAACATCTTTTCAATTCTATGTAGGTGTCCTCGTTTAGTTGACCAGGTAGACTCCAGGCTTCTTGATAAGTCTTATACTTAATTTTGGATCAACTTTCACTAGGGAATTTACGCTGTTATCATATTCAACTGCTCCCCCTTTTTGAGGTCTATCCGAAAGATCATAATCACAGGGAGCAAGGCAGGGAGCAAGGCTTTTGAGAAAACGGTGACTCGCCGATCTGTTGCATTAAATTCCACATGAATTCCGTATGCAATGATAAATTTAATTTTCGGAAGCTAAGGAGGCTGAGTCCCAAGATATAAAAATATTTTGACGTGTTAAAATATTTCTTCTAATTTTCATTCCTCGAAAGCCTTTTGCAAGAAGGAATCTCTTTTGCAGCATATGTCGAAGACAGAATCGCATACTGCACACATTACGTGTTGTGGAACAATGGAGAAGACGACAATAAAATGTAAAATGTTATGATCGAATCTACGGTTATCGCCAAAATTTTTGTCTAAGCCTATTATTTTGTTTGGATAGCTCTTTTTGAATCACTCTCCTCCTCTCAACCATTCAAGCGTCGTGTCCAATAAGTTACTGCAACGTATTTTTTTTTTTTTTTTGCTTTCAAATGGCCATA